CAAAAAAACAAAACAAAGCAAATCAACAAAAAAATGTAGAAAAGTTTTGTCTCTCATCCGAGCTGTATGAATACAGCTCCTCAGACTGAGGAAGTCTCTCGGATGAGAGACGAAACTTTTCTACATTTTTTTGTTGATTTGCTTTGTTTTGTTTTTTTGAATGTCCAGAGGACCAGATTTAACTTTTTTAGATACTGTGTGGGGTATTTTGCTGAATAGACATGGTAAGTTTAACAGATCTGTAAAATAAATTAATAAATCAACAATAAATTCGCTTCAATCCTCCAACCCGCTTGTCATTAGCTACGTGCCTCTCCAGTTAGCAAGCTAATGTTACTGTGGGTATGCTGTCCTCACAACAAGTGACCATGTTTGCTTTCTTGATTTTACTGAAGACCTCCTCGAGGCTCAATGGGATTAACCTGTATAAAAACCTGTTGAATGAATTTATGAATTTGTGAAAAGACAAGTATCCCAAGGCTCAAGCGTGTAGAGCACATTTGAGCTGTTTTCACCGTTATTTTATGACGCACTTGTTTTATCGGAGAAAAGACGTCAAAGATTGTTCTGTGATGAGAGCACTCACCATCTCACGTTCTGCATGTACAATTTGACAAAGATCAGATGTCTCACTCTGATTGGAATTCAAACCCAACATTTTTTAACAGTTTTTAGTATGAATTTCATTAAACTAATTATTAACTATGCATTTATTTATCACTTCATTTATGTAACTTACGAAAGTGATTAATTTTTTCCTGTCTTTGAACAAAAAGCAGCAAAGTGGGACTAATTAAAGGCAGATCTGGTTAGCTTAGCTTCATGATTGCTAACAGCTGCACTAAATAAACAAGCCACGCTCCACTCGCTGTTTACTGAGATTCTTGGGGGTGGACAAAGTGCAAAGTTTTTCATCCATTACATCGGCTATTGGCAGTCGCCTACCCTCCCAATATTGGTGATAGCCAAAATTTCCATAACGGTCGGGCTCTACTTTAAACCAAAACAAACTGTGTAAATTGTTATTCAAAATGAAGGATCATCTGGATTCATTACTTTGGATGAATTTAGGAACTTACCACTGCGGTAAACACAACCTCAGTACAGAAAACCATCAGTTTTACATGTGTGTGCATGAGAGGGACTGATTATTTAGATTATTCTGTTCAATATATGTTGAGGAAAAAAATCTGCTATGAGAGCTGAAGGCACTTTGACTTTAAGTTGCGCACCTTTCCAGCCGAATCAGGAGGAGCACAACGCTGCAGCAGGAGTTTAGCCACGTCCAGGTTTCCGTACTTGGCAGCAACATGCAGGGGAGTAAAACCTTTCTGCGCAGAGAAGAAAATCAGAGGAGAAAGAAGAAGAATGTGCACCAGTCAGTGTCTGTTCTTACACTTCATGCAAAATGTACATTTTAACAGTTTTAGGTTTGGTGCTAGTACTTTGAAAACTAGACACTGTAGGACAATAAAAGTGTAGAGTTTCTGGGTTCTGGTCCTGTCTTTTGTGTTTTCCCATGTTTCCAGTCACCCCTTAGTGTTCCTCCTCCCTGTGTCCAGCTCTTGTCTCACCTGTGTCCAATGTAATCATCACAGGTGCCTGTCATCTCACCCTCGTTAGTGTCTGCATATATTCAGCTCCTTGGTGTCTTGTCAGTTGTCTCTGGATTGTCCTTCACTGGCTGTTATGGTCTGTTTCTTTCTGTGGCCTCCTGAAAGTAAGTTTGCTGCCCTGTCAGCATTTTGTTTTGTTTATTTAGTAAATAAACTATTTACTTATTTCACCTTCCTGCACGTGGGTTCAAACGCTACAGCAGATCATAATAAAAAAGTTATTTTATTTGAAGACTTGGATGTATTGTAACAGTACCATATTCTTTCTTCTAAGACCTCTGTTAGACTTGACTACCAGCCAATCAGGTCATCATGAACATTAAAACCTTCTCCTCCACTGTGTGACCAACACAGGGCCCAAAAACATCTGGGTTTCCTGACTGTTGAGCAGTTGTTCATGTTTTAACTTCCTCGTTAACAAATTCTGTTCAACTTTACAACATAAAAAATGAAAATATCCTGATGCATGCTCAATAATCCAGGTAGAAAAATCTAAAAAAGTTAAATCTGGTCCTCTGGACATTCAAAATAACCCAAAACAAAGCAAAACAACAAAAAATGTAGAAACGTTTCGTCTCTCGTCCGAGAGACTTCTTCAGTCTGAGGTGCTGTTTTCAGCTCAGTCTCTTAAATAGCACCTTCTCAGAGTGGATCAACCAGTTTTGCTGCTGACAACCAAAAGAAGTCTCTCGGACGAGAGACGAAACGTTTCTACATTTTTTGTTGTTTTGCTTTGTTTTGGGTTTTTTTGAATGTCCAGAGGACCAGATTTAACTTTTTTAGAAAAAATGAAAATGTATTTGATATTGAGAGGCTGAGAGGACAGGAAAGAGGAAGCTGTGGCTGAGTGGTTAGAGCAGTCATCCTCCAACGGCAGAGTTGGAGGTTCGAGTCCACATGTTGAAGTGTCCCTGGTCAAGACACTGAACCCCTCATTACCTCTGTGTGTCTCATCAGTGTATGAATGTGATATAAAGCTCTGATTAGTCTCTACATATTCAGATTATCTTCGCAGAGATGTAGTAGAGTGCTGTGTGGATGTGTGTGTTGGAAGTAAATGAGGACACAGATTGTTGTAAAGCACTTTGAGTATCTTGATTAGGTAGAAAGGTGCTATAAGTACAGTACAAACATGAAAAATGAATCCAGATAAAGTTTTTGTGTGATGATTAAAAACCCCCACAAAGATAATGTCAATAAGTACAACAGGTAGAAGTAAAGACAGCAGCAGAGAGAGGAAATGTGGTCAGTTTGTTCCTCCAGCAGTCTGACCCTATAGCAGCATAACTAAGGGATAGCTCAGGAAACCAAGCCAACCCTAATTATAGGATTTGTCAAAAAAGAAAGACTTAAGTCTAGTCTTAAAACTGGACATTGTGTCAGCCTCACGGACAGAAACTGGAAGTTGGTTCCACAAGAGAGAAGACTGATAACTGAAAGATCTTCCTCCCATTCTGCTTTTGGAAACTCTATGAACCACAAGTATGGTATGGTATGGTATGGTATATAGTTTATTCATTTAAAAAAAAGTACAAAACAATTCCATAACAATATAAAAAAAGATACAAAAGATTTAAAATGAAAGGCAGCAGAAAGAAGAAAAAATCTTATATCTGCCCCTTTTTACAAACAATTATTTCAGACATAATAATCTTCAAGTAACAGAACAAAATGAATAATTTTCTAATTTATCTAATTCTAATACAAAACACACACTAAGCTACTTCATATATACTTTTTTAACAATTCAGTTTTGATTTTTTTCTTAAATGTGCACATTGACTTGGCATTTTTCACATCACTCTCTAGACCATTCCACAATCCAACTCCTTGGATTGAGGTAGACCTTCCCTTCAGAATAGTTCTGAATTTTGGTTTGACAAATATCTCTATCCCCTTAAGATTATAACTTTGTCTTTTAACAAAATTCCTTTGGATATTTAATGGTAATGTGTGATTTTGAGCCCTATACATAACTGATAAAATACTGTAATCTACTAGATCATGGAATTTCAATAACTTCAGTTGATAAAATAATGTGCTTGATGGGTGACTGTAATGTTTTCTGGTGATAATTCTTACAGCTCTTTTCTGTAAAATAAAAATAGGCTTTGTAAATGTTTTACACGCTTTCCCCCAAACATCAATGCAATAGATTAAATGTGGAACAATGATTGTGTTATCCAACATGTACAGAGCTTTATCATTTAATAATTCCCTGACTTTGTATAGTACTGCAATAGATTTAGATATTTTTGTTCTTACAGAATTTATGTGATTTTTCCATGTTAGCTGTTCATCAATGATTACACCCAAAAATTTCATCTCATTAACTCTACAAATCTCAACACCCTCAATTTTAAATGGATCATCAACAGTTCTCTTTTTGTTGCTAAATATCATGTATTTAGTTTTATCTAAATTTAATGATAATTTATTAATTTTAAACCAAGTTTGTATTTTATCAAATTCTGTCTTCATCAATTCCAACATCCGTTTTACATCTTTACCCAAACAAAAAAATGTGGTGTCATCTGCAAAAAGGACACATTTGAGGAGTCCTGATACATTCACTAAGTCATTCACATATAAAATAAATAACTTTGGTCCAAGTACAGAGCCTTGAGGAACTCCACAAGTGATATTGCACAGGTCAGATCTTACACCATTTATTTGTACAAACTGTTTCCTATCCTTTAAATATCTAGATACCCAGTGTAATGCTGGTCCCCTTATACCATATTTATTTAATTTTTCAAGGAGAATAGTGTGGTCAATAGTATCAAATGCTTTTTTTAAATCAACAAAAATACTAACACAATACTGTTTTTGATCGACAGCAGTAGTTATTTGTTCCATTATTTCCATGAGAGCCATCGATGTAGAGTTTTTTGCTCTAAACCCATACTGACTGCTACTTAGAATGTTTTGTTTAGTAATAAATTTATCTAATCTGGTCACAAATAGTTTTTCTAGAATTTTTGAGAACTGTGGTAATAAGAATATTGGTCTATAATTATTGAACACACATTTATCACCATTTTTAAAGAGAGGAACTACCTTTGCTACTTTCATATTGTCTGGAAATATTCCTTTTGAAAATGATAAATTACAAATATATGTAAATGGCTCGATAACATAACTCATTATGTCCTTTACAAACATCATATCCATGTCCACCCAGTCTTTTGATCTCTTATCTGTAAGATTTTTTACTACATTCATTATTTCTTCTTTGTCAGTTCCATTAAGAAAAATACTGTTGTCACAACTTATAACTGAATGGTTCACATTATTGTCTACTTTTGGTATTTTAGCTGCAAGGCTTGATCCAACGTTCACAAAATGATGATTAAATCCATTTACAATTTCATTTTCATCATGGATTTCATCGTCATCCTTCAAAAAATATTGTGAAATACCTGTTTTTGCTTGATGACTTTTCAGAACACTATTTATTACACGCCATGTAGCTTTCATATCACCATTACTTTTATTTAATAAATCACTATAATATTCCTTCTTGTGTTTTCTTATAATCACTACTAATTTATTTTTATACTTCTTATATTTCTCTTCAGCCTCTTGTGTTCTCAATTTCAAGAAACATGTATACAAATAATTCTTTTTTTTACAAGCATTTCTCAACCCTTTCATCATCCATGGTTGATCAACAACATTTCTCTTTGTACAATTATTTTGCACACAATTCTTTTCATACAGAGCTCCCAAAATATTCATAAACTCATCATATGATCTGTTTACATCATCAACATACACGTCTTTCCAGCTTTGTTTATGTAAATCATCTTTTAATTTGTCCATTGCTTTTTTTGACGTGTTTATTGTTTTTTCCTTAGTTGTAATTTCTTTTGTAATGCTTTGATCATTTTTATAAATCATGAAAACTGGTAAATGATCACTCAAATCACTCATTAAAATACCTCCCATCACATCCCCATTTGTTACATTTGTGAAAATATTATCAATTATTGTAGCACTATGAGTTGTAATTCTTGTTGGTTTTGATATTAACGGATAAAGATTTAAACTATACAATGAATTTGTAAATGTACTGATGTTATTTGAATCTGTTTTATTTCCCAGGTCAATATTAAAATCTCCACAGAAAAAAATGCTTTTATTAAAACTCTTGTCCTAGTAAACCTGCAGTCTGATAGAAAGATGCTCTGTTGGGAAAATCTGGAACAATAAGATCTGTAATATAAGATGGAGCTAGGTTGTTGAGAGCTTTGTAGATTAGAAGTAATATTTTTAAATATATTTTGAATCCAGAGACAAAACTGGATAAATCTGATCTCTCCTAACTATCAGAACTCCAGCAGCAGCATTTTGGATCAACTGAAGACGTTTTAGGGATTTTTAATCACCCAGTTATTAAAGAATTACCATTGTCCAGACTAGTAGTGATAAATGCATGCACCAGTTTTTCTGCTTCCTTTTGGGACAATATATTTCTAATTTTAGTAATAAACTACACAAGGTACAAAGTATTTTTGTACCATTTAATGTTGTGGTTAAACAACATATTCTGAACAAAAATCAAGCCAAGGTCATTTACATTAGCACTGCAGACTGAATAAATGTCTTCCAGCGTGAATGAAAGGCTGCAAACTTTGTTCCTGTCACAGCTTTTGATGAACCTGTTCAGTTCCTCCTCCAGCCTGCAGAGGGCGCACGGATGCAGCTTTTAG